CGGTGTTTGGTTTTCTGTTCCTGTGTTAGTTTGCTGAGAATGATGGTTTCCAGCTTCATTCACGTCCCTGCAAATGACATGAACTCATTTTTTTTTTATGGCTGCGTAGTATTCCATGGTGTATATGTGCCACATTTTCTTTATTTTCTTTATCCAGTCTTTCACTGATGGGCATTTGGGTTGGTTCCAGGTCTTTGCTCTTGTGAACAGGGCTGCAATAAACATACATGTGCATGTGTGTTTATAGTAAAAACACTCCACCTTTCTAGACCAGCTTCCTCCTTGACTCGCTTTCCTAACCCAGTGTGTGGGTGATGAGAACTTGCTGGGAGGCTAGTCGTGCAATAGCATTGTAAACTGTGAAGTGCTGCACAGGTAGGAGCGACTGTTGTGGCCAGCCCGCATTCCCAACCCAGACATCGAGAGGAGGGCTTAATCAGACATTCGTTTGCGGGCCCAGAGTGAGCTTCTGGCTTTTACCTCCCTCTTTTCTACCTTCCTTGTGGCTTAACTCCAAACTCTGCACCACCAGGGAATGGGACAAGGGAAGGAGCTTAATCCTCCCAATAATATTCCTCTGAGATAGGTATCAGCATACCCATGTTACAGATAAATAAACTGAGGCCCAGACAGATTAAATAACACTTCCCTACAGCTGCTGAGAGGAAGCACTGGGATATGAACCCAAGTCACTCTGACTCCAGATACATCCGAATCCCAAGCTGGGAGGTAATAGTACACGGTGGAATGTGAGCTACACGAGGGCCGGGATTCATAGACGATTTGTTCCCTCCTGAATCCCCAGCCCCTGAAGCAGCACCTGACACTGTCAACAGTCAGTATTTTAAAATAGTACATATTGGCTGGGCACGGTGGCTCACACTTGTAATCCCAGCTCTTTGGGAGGCTGAGGCCAGCGGATCACCTGAGGTCGGGAGTTCAAGACCAGCCTGGCCAATATGGTGAAACCTCATCTCTACTAAAAATACAAAAAGCTGGATGTGGTGGCAGGCGCCTGTAATCCCAGCTACTTGGGAGACTGAGGCGGGAGAATCACTTGAACCTGGGAAGGGGAGGTTGCAGTGAGCCAAGATCACGCCACTGCACTCTAGCCTGGGCATGACAGAGAGAGACTCCGTCTCTAAAATAAAATAACGAATATCAACATTAATGGAAAAGTTTGGTGTAGCAAAAGTGAGCTAGGAATAAAAAAGTTATTGGGAGCTATATCTTACATCACGGCTTTATAGAGGGTTCTGTGTTGTGGATAGTTTGAGGTGGCATTTTCTTTAAAGATAGAGATGGGGTCTTGCTATGTTGTCCAGGCTAGTCTCGATCTCCTGGCTTCAAGTGATTCTCCTGAATGGGCCTCCCAAAGTGCTGGGATTACGGGTGTGAGCCACGGAGCTGGGATTACATGTGTGAGCTGCTGGGCTGGCTGTGGGTAGCAGTTGATTGTTCATGGTAGCGGTTTCTCTAGCCATGACAGAGGTTTGGGCCTCAGACAGTAATTGAGTAAAAAAGAAATAACATTAACAATGAAGTAAAATCTCTGTGGACATATATAGATTATATTAAAATTACATCATAGGCTGGGTGCAGTGGCTCACGCCTGGAATCTCAGCACTTTGGGAGGCCGAGACAGGCGAATCACCTGAGGTCAGGAGTTTGAGACCAGCCTGGCCAACATGGTGAAATCCTGTCTCTACAAAAAAATACAAAAATTAGCCGGGCATGGTGGCAGGCGCCTTAATCCAGCTACTTGGGAGGCAAAGGCAGGAGAATCGTTTGAACCTGGGAGGCAGAGGTCGCAGTGAGCCAAGATCAAGCCATTGCACTCAAACCTGGGGGACAAGAGAGAGACTTCTCTCCAAAAAAATTATGTCATAGTGGCATATCCTACTTTGCCCCTTGATACGCCCCTTTGGGAAGACCTTATGGAGAAGAGAACATTGCATGCTTAAAAAAAAAACATTACGGCCTTTAATTTTATATATATTATATATTTTATAAAATTTTATTTATTTTATACATTTTGATTTTATATATTTAAAGATATTGGACCTTCATGCAAGAAAACCAACTTTTAATTCAGCCTATTTATTTATTTTGAGATAGAGTCTCACTTTATCACCCAGGCTGGAGTACAGTGGCATGATCTTGGCACACTGCAACCTCCCCCTCCCAGGTTCAAGCCATTCTCCTGCTTCAGCCCCCAGAGTAGCTGGGATCACAGGCACGCACCACTATGCCTGGCTAATTTTTGTGTTTATAGTAGATACAGGGTTTCACAATGTTGGCCAGGCTGGTCTTGAACTCTTGACCTCAGGTGATCCGCCCACCTTGGCTTCCCAAAGTGCTGGGATTACAGGCATAAGCCACCGTGCCTGGCCCACAATTTTATTTTTACTGAGCACCTACTATGTGCCATGCACTGGGTTAAGCCCTGGCAGGTTCAGAGATGTCCGAGGCAGGGCCTTCAGCTCTAAAGAGCATCTCAAGGCCAGCGTCCTTAGGGAGCCCTCCCTAGGGAGAGTCGGGGCAGCAGACCATGCTCAGGGGCTTGCTCTGCCCAGTGTGGCTCTGCCTGCTCTCATTCCGGGTGGGTGTGAGGGTCAGTTTGCTGCAAGATATCAGCCTGGGGGGGTTTCTCTCTCCTGTCTCTCCCTCACCTTCCACACTCCACCTCCTCCTCTGGCTGATTGAAAAGGTGCAAGGGGGAATCTAGAGAGATTCTGTGCTGTTTGTTTTGGGTTCAATGGAATCTCATTTACACGTGTTAATTGCAACTAATTGGCACTAATTGGATGAACAGGAAACCCTCTGGGAGCACTCATACCTTTAATTTGTGGTAAATATCATTAATTAACATATGCTAATTAGAGCCAATTAACATTGATTAAGGGTTGCCAGCTACTTGGAAAGTACAACTCTGTGTCCTCCTCCCTTGATTGTCTGAAGTCAGCACAAAATATGATACATGAAGTCTGAGGGAAGGAGAGGACAGCGCGTGGAGTCAGGTGGTATCTCCCAGTGGAGGGCATCATGGCTCCAGCAGCCCTCACACAAGCTGGGCACTTAGAGGATGGCACCACCCTCACCTTCCCCAGGGCAAAGGGGTCTGCCGGGGAAGAGCCTGGCGAGATTAGCACTTCTCAGGGAGTGTGAAGGAGCAGATGGTGGGAGGTTCTGGGTGCTGAGATGTTCTCCCTTTTGCCTGGCCCCCAGATGGCAGACAAGGCCAGGGTGGGTTGAAACAGGACTGGAGGTCAGCCGGTGGGGAGACTGCGGCCACTGAGAGCAAGGAATGTTTGGGACTCCTCCTCCAGAGATGAGGCATGGTGAGATGCCCACTGCCCATTGACCCAGTACCATCTGGCATGGGGTGTATGTGTGTGGCCAACGGGAGTGACCCTTTCTGGATCCCAGTGACATCTCTCATCACTCAGAAAGGCCACACAGATGAAGGAGGGCATGCCAGGAGGAGTCAGAGGAGTGTGTATGTGCGTGTGTGTGTGCATGTGTGTACACAAAACCTCCTCCATCTGACATGGATGTATGAATGGGGATATATCTCCTCCATCTGACACGAGGTGCATAGATGATAGGACCACCTCCGTCAGACATCTCCTTTGAGAGTTATGAGATATTTTTTACTGAAGACTAGGATGCTGTTCAAACTTCCCAGGGTATGGGTGTCAGTTAAAAAAAAAAATCACTTGCCTGGGACCCAGAAGGCTTTTAGTTTCCACTTTCAGTTCTGTTACTAACTAGTCATGGGACCCTTGGGATTCATTTTAAAAATGTATACATTGTTTCATTTTAGTCTAATTACAAAAGAAATAAATGCTTATTGCAGACCTCACCCTCTCCATGGCTTCCTTCTGTAATGGGCTTCTGAGGCCCCACCCTTCCTCTTCTATAACATTCACCTTGTCGTCTTGTGTTCAATGTACATCTTCATCAACAGGCTGTGAGTTTCCTGAAGACAGGGTTTAAGTCTGTCTTGTTCATTGTGCTATTTCACAGACACTAAAAATACTTATTGGCTAGGTGCAGTGGTTCATGCCTGTAATCTGAGCACTTTGGGAGGCCGAGGTGGGAGGATTGCTTGTGTCCAGGAGCTCAAGACCAGCCTGGGCGCCGTAGGGAGACCTTGTCGCTATAAAAAATAAAAAATGAGCTGGGTGCAGTGGTGCATACCTGTGGTCCCAGCTACTCGGGAGGCTGAGGTGGGAGGATCACTTGAGCCTGGGAGGTCAAGGCTGCAGTGAACTGAGATCATGTCACTGCACTCCAGCTTGGGCAACAGTGAGACCTTGTCTTCATAAAATTAAAAATAAATAAAAATAAAAATATTTGTGGCACGAATGAACATATAAAACAAAAACCATCTGTAATTTCTACCACCACAGAGAAAAATGACGTTTGGCATTTGGGATGTGTGTGTGTATGAGTTTGTGTATATATATAAATATCTATAAATAAAACATGTTATATGTAAAGCATACCCACACCCACACCCACACCCACACCCACACCCACACCCACACCCACACCCACCCACACACACACACACACACACACAGCTATCCCAAAAGGCTTAATGTAGTTTTTGCTTTAACAACTTCAAAAGCGGCTGGGCATGGTGGCTCATGCCTGTAATCCCAGCACTTTGGGAGGCCAAGGCAGGCAGATCACAAGGTCAGGAGATTGAGACCTCGGTGAAACCTTGTCTCTACTAAAAATACAAAAAATTAGCCGGGCGCGGTGGCGGGCGCCTGTAGTCCCAGCTACTCAGGAGGCTGAGGCAGGAGAATGGCGTGAACCCGGGAAGTGGAGCTTGCAGTGAGCTGAGATTGCTTCGTCTCAAAAAATAAATAAATAAAATAAAATAAAATAAAAATAAATACATAACTTCAAAAGTGTAAATGCTACAAATTTTTAAGAACAAAAAAATCATCTAAAACCTTAATCATTTCAATTTATTATACACTTAGCACTGCACCCTCCAGAAAGGCTGAACTTGTTTACAGTTCCGTTAGCACTGGATGAGAATGTGGGCTCCTCGGATTCCAGCCAGCCCTGGGCCCCGCTTCTCTCTTTGAGCCACCAGGTAAGTCATTAAGTCCTTTTACTCATCTGCAGAATGGGGCCAGTGACATCAGCACTACTTAACCCTGGCGGCCTCTCATGTGGGAGAATGGGGGTGATTTTGTCACCCAGAGACAGGAGTGTTTGTTCTTGAAGAGACTTGAGTGTTATAGCGCCCAGATTTGAGCTGCTGGCGCTGATGAAAAGGGATGGGGGCCTGGGTGGGACAGAACTGGGAGAAACCTCACCTCCAAGGGAACCTCTATGGGTAGATCTTCACTGACCTAACTCAGAGAAATAGGGCTTCCCTGGAAGGGTTTGGGGTTCAGGACCAGGCAAATCATAAAGGCTGGAAAAGTCCCCCCACAGCACCACACTGGGTAAAGTGAGTTAAGATCCCTGCTGTGGGACAGGCCCTCTTCTAAATTCTTTTTTTTTTTTTTTTTTTTTTTTTGAGACGGAGTCTTGCTCTGTGCCCCAGGCTGGAGTGCAGTGGCGCGATCTCGGCTCACTGCAAGCTCCGCCCCCCCAGGTTCACGCCATTCTCCTGCCTCAGCCTCCCAAGTAGCCGGGACTACAGGCGCCCGCCACCACACCCGGCTAGTTTTTTTTTTTTTTTTAGTAGAGACGGGGTTTCACGGTGTTAGCCAGGATGATCTCGATCTCCTGACCTTGTGATCCGCCCGCCTCGGCCTCCCAAAGTGCTGGGATTACAGGCTTGAGCCACCGCGCCCGGCCCTCTAAATTCTTTCAGGCATTCATTCCTTTAATCTTCCCATAACCCAATGATGTAGGTTACTAGTATTACCCCATTTTGCAGACAAGGAAACTGAGGCTCAGACAGGCTAACTAACATGCCCTAGGTCACACAGCCACCAAGTGGCAGGGCTTCGATGTGAATGGAAGTTTAGAGCCCGTGCTGCCTGCTGTGTCCTGCACCCTCCCTTCCACCCACCTCTGACTTGAGGAAGCTGTGGCTCCCAGAGTGGAAGCCCCAAGGTGGGAACTCCCCGCCCTGCCTAGGTCCCATCAGCACTGCTTCCTGAGTCCAAGTGGACCCCCGTTCCCAGCTCCTCCCCCATGGAAATCTGAGGTCTGAGGGAGAGCTACTGGCGAGGTTCACAGCAGCTTAATTACCAAAGTGATTTTAATTTGTTTTTGTTAATTGAAATCTCATTAAGCAAGTAATTTACTCCAACACAGCTTAGGAGTCCACAGTTCCATGGGTGAGGAGGCTAAAGGGGTTTTTAGAATTTGCCTTCATCTGGGGACTGTGCCTCTTGCCTGATCCTGTGACCTGTGTGCCTCTGAGTGTGTGTGCACATGGGCTTCCCACAGAAGGGTCCCCCCAGGGGACCAGGAGCACCCTTTCTCCTTCTTTGCCCATACCCGCCTGCCCCACCACCATAGGGCTCTAGACCTTCCCTGCCTTGTCCTGTCCCCTGGAGTGATGAGGGAAAAATGAACCTGAGCTGTCCCTCTGCAGGTGTGCGACATGTGGTGCAGACACAAACAGATACCATCTCATATTCACTTATTTTCTTTCCAAGTGCTGTTCTAGGCACCAAAGGTGCTGGGAGAAAAATGGGTCTTCACTTCCTATAGTAAATAGCTCCTTTGCCGCAAATGGCCTTGGGGACAGGGGCCATCCAGGAAAGAGGTAGTTTCTGGGCTGGCTTGTCCCCCATCTCAGCCTATACAAGTGCCTCCACCTCTCAAGATCATGTCGTGGCCACTTCTCCAAAGAGCTTTCATTCCCTGCACCCTCCAGATGCACTGCCTTTCTCCTCGGTGTGTTTCTACCGCATTGTGTTGGTCCCCCCTCTGGATTCATTCTTCTGTGTACCAGAGAGATGTGCTTCTCTTGCTAGCTGGACTGAAGCACCATGAGGCAGAGACCTTGCTTTATTTATCCAACTTGAGATGCAGAAGACAGAAATTCTTCCAAACCTGTGCCTTACAGGTACTGTTCAACTATCGTGCAGCAAATGAATGGATGAGTTGTGTCCTGCCCCTCCTTCAGAATGCAGCTGAAATGACACTTTTTTGGCAGGGAATGGCGGTGCACAACTAAGATTTGTAAACACTGTTTTTTAAATTGTAGTAGAATACACATAACATAAAATTTACCATTTTCCACCATTTTAAAGAGTTCAGTTCAGTGGTGTTAAGTGCATTCACATTGTTACGCAACCATCACCAATGTCCATCTCCAGAGCTTTCTCATCATCCCAAATTGAAACCCTGTACCCATTAAGCAATAAGTCCCTATCTTTCCTCCCCCAGCTTCTGGCAACCACCTTTTTACTTCTTTCTCCATGAATTTCAGTCCTCTTGTATTTCATGGAAGTGGAATTCTGCCACATTAATCCTTTTGTGTCTAGCTTAGTTCTGAAATGGCACTGTTTTTTCTTGTTTTCTTTTTTTTTTTTTTTTGAGATGGAGTTTCTCTTTTGTCACCCAGGCTGGAGTGCAGTGGTGAGGTCTTGGCTCACTGCAACCTCCATCTCCCAGGTTCGAGTGATTCTCCTGCCTCGGCCTCCTGAGTAGCTGGGATTACAGGTGCCCACCACCATGCCCAGCTAATTTTTTGTATTTTTAGTAGAGATGGGGTTTTGCCATGTTGGGCAGGCTGGTCTCAAACTCCCTGACCTCGTGATCCACCCCCCTTGGCCTCCCAAAGTGTTGGGATTACAGGCTTGAACCACTGTGCCCGGCCAGCACTTTTAAAGGGAGGTCTTTTCTGTACTCTGGACTCTGTCAGTTTACCTGTCACATGTTCCTGGGTACCCTTCCATTACTCTCTCATGCAGCACAAGTCCTTGCCATTGTCTTCCTTCCCCAGTTGTAGTCTCCAATAGGGCAGAGCACACTTGGTTTCTTCCGGGCTGGGGTCCTGGCTTAGATGTGATGGTTTTCAACAGAGTGTTTCACAGTGGGGCCACCACAGGTATTTGGGGAGGCTATTTTTTTTTTTTAATTGAGACAGGGTCTCGCTCTGTAGCCCAGGCTGGAGTGCAGTGGCAAGAATACAGCTCACTACAGCCTTGACCTCTTGAACTCAAGGGGATCCTCCTGATTCAGCCTCCTGAGTAGCTGGGACTACAGGTGCACACCACCATGCCCGGCTAATTGGTTTACTATTATTATTATTATTTGTAGAAATGGAGTCTCACCATGTCGCCCAGGCTGGTCTTGAACTCCTGGGCTCAAGCAACAGGAAGGCCAATGCTTCGTTGAACGGGACTATGTGGGCCATTTCGCATTCCTGGCCTTGCTTATTCAGTGCCTGTAGCATCCCCCAAATAATTGTAACAACTCAAACATACCCTCCACATCTTTCGACTTTCCCTGGGTGGGGTGGGAGTTTGAAACTAGTGCAATCGCCTGTACGCTGCCTGGCACATAGTAGGGGCTCAGTGAGCGCGTGTTGAAAGGGTGACTGAGAGTGTGTATGAGCCATGCCCCTGACCTGGCTGGTGTTTCTCCGAGAGACGGGCACATGTGCACGTGAGGCTGCGGCACGTGCCGCTCCTCTGGCCTGTGCCCCTGGGTGTACTGTGCCAGCCAAGGATTCTGAGTCCTGCTGTAGACCAGGACCCTGCTTCTCTGGAGTTCTGTCTGTATTGGGTGTCCGCATTTTTTGTCTCTCCTCGTGGACCCTGGCTGCGTCCTCCCTTTGCCCCTGACTATGGCCACTTGGTAGATTTCCAGGCCTGACATTTCGAACATGCAATGCCATATGTATTACCACTCTCAGGTAATTATCACGTAAAATTAAGCTAGTCTTGTACATGAAACCAGCAATTAGCCAGGGATTGAAGGTCAGGGAGAGCTCGTTTATAGAGTCACTAACAAAATGTTAAGTGGAAGTGTATGTCAGATGGGCCAGGAGGCTGGATTAGCCAGGGTCGCAGCGGTGGGACTGGAGAGCTGGTGGAGACTCCTAGCTCTGTAGTATTGGGCACAGCGGGAGGAGCTGGTGATTTACAGCTCACACTTTTCTCTTCCAGCTCTCAATCTGGGGCTTGGCTTTGAAGGGAAGGTTGCTAAGCCTCCTAAATCCTGATGCACACCAATGTCGTTTCCCCACTCATCTGGAAACCTGGTGGGTCCTGCCCAAACTCCTGTCAGTTCCACCTCCTGCTTGGCTGCCACCATGCCAACATTTTCCACTTAAGCCTTTCAGCTCTGCTTTGGGCACCTGAAGACAGAGTGAATCATCTTTCAAGAGTCAAAAACTTTGCACATGCCATTCCCTCTGGTGAGAATGCTTTTCCCTTTCTCCCAGCTGCCTTATCATCAGTCTGCAAAATATTTATTTCTGTTTCTAAAATCTCAGATATCACTTCTCCAGGAGCCCAGATGCCTCACTTTATTCCAGAAGGAGCTATCACCACTTTTGCCTGGCAAGTCCGTTTTCACGGTTACACTTATACGCTATGGCAATTTATTGGTGATTTGTCTGTTTCCTCTATCAACAGTGAATTACTCATCTATCCCTGGAAACCTGGAACTGCTCAATAAATGTTTGTGGTGTGAATATACATATTATTCTCTTCTGCCCTTTGTTTTTGTTTTTTTTTTTTTTTTACATACCCTTCAAGGCCCTGCTCGGGTGTCACCTCCTTTGTGTAGCTTTCCTGGATTCACTTCCCTGGTATAATTAATCATGCCTTCTGCATTCCCATGGCACTTTGTGTGTGATTTCATTACAACACTTGCCAAATTGCCTCATATTTCCTTATCGGTCTATCTGGGGTTACCACATTGCACAACTCCAGGGAACACAATTTACATTAAATCAAGCAATGCAGAGATGGCACCTGTATTTGCCCACTAGGCAGTGACCTTCTGCAGAGCAGACCCCGTGACTTTACTAATACCCTGCATATAATGTGCTTTTCTTGTCCACGTTACTGTCCATTTAGAATAGGTATGCAATAAACATGCAATGAACATATGTTTAATTATTCAACAGGGACAGGAGGTTCAGTGGAGAGAGCTCTAGAGTTGGAGTCT